TGAGCTGAAATGAAAAATACAGGGACGATCACCAACGACATCCCAACTAATCCAAGACATGGGTCTCCCAAAGGATCCCTTTCCCTTTCAACTGCCTTGGGCTTGGAGAAGCCCTCTCTCCAACTTTCCACGTTCTCGTTTAGGTATTAATGTCAAGAAGCCCCTCACTTTCAAGGCATCCACGCCAAACTCTGAGAAACACATCAGAAGCCAGGGGGCCAGCGCGGAGAGAGGTCGGGCGGTCGGTTTCTCGCTCTTGCCAAGATCTCTGCGCTTCTGCCAGACCCTCCAGCCCTTGCGTTCTACTTAGGAGAGGATTCATTACATAATCCCTGCTCTACGGGAGCATAACACCGGGGCTGGGGCTGCCCGGTATCTCACACACCACCTTTGGGGAGACTGGCTGACTGCAGACCCCGCGAGCAGCACGCCTCCCCTCGCCGTGCGCTGCCGGCAGTCCCGACTCGCCGGGGGCAGCGACCCCGACCCAGACTCGCTCCCCCCTCCTCCTTCCACTCGCGCGCTCCGAAGCCCGTTCCGGGTCTCCCTTCACACTCGCCGTCACGACCCCTCTCGGGGGAGGGGTGTCCCCCAGCAGACTTGGTGTCCCAAGTCCTCTCGGGGTCCTCTCCCTTCACACCCGCTGTCCCAAGCCCTCTCGGGGACTTCCCCTAAACCCTCTGTCCCGGCCCCTCTGGGGGGGGGGGGGTCCCTCCAGTCAGACCTGCTGTCCCACGCCCTCTCCAGTCCCCTCTCTCCACACCCGCTGTCCCAAGCCCTCTCGGAGTCCCCTCTTCAGACCTGCTGTCCTGGCCCCTCTCAGGGCTCCCTCCCTTCATACCCGCCGTCCCAAGCCCTCTCGGGGTTACCTGTCTTCAGACCCGCTGTTCCAGCCCCTCTCGGGGTCCCCTCCCTTCATACCTGTTGTCCCAAGCCTTCTCGGGAACTCCCCGTAGACCCGCTGTCCCAAGTCCTCTCGGGGTCTCCTGTCTTCACACTCGCTGTCCCAATCCCTCTCGGGGACTCCCTCTAGAATCGCTGTCCCCAGCCTTCTCAGGGACTCCCCCTAGACCCGCTGTCCCAAGCCCTCTCTCGGTTCCCGCTCAGACCCGCTATCCCGGCCCCTCTCGGGGTCTTCTCTCCCCGGTCCGGACAAACTAGCTCCCGGACTCCCGTCATGAGTCCTCCCCGACCTCACTCCACCCAGGGTCTCTTTGCCTCGGCTCACTTTGTCACCGTCCCGAGCCCCGGTGCTCTCACCTCAGACCTGCTGTCACCACCCGGGGCCCGGCGTCACCGCCGCCGCTTCCTCTCCCACACTTGTTCCCGAGTCGCTCTTCTGCCGCTTGTCCCCGGGAGGGTCCCCGGTTCGGGTCGCTGAGTGTCGAGTCCGGCCACGCGGAGCCTCCGCCGGCGGTCTCGGTATCGCGTCCCACTCTCTCACGCAGGACCCCACCGCCGTCGCCGCCGGGCGCCACACGTACCCTCCCGCTGCCGCCGCTGCTGCTGTCCGAGGTGCGGCTCTTGCCAGGGGTGGCCAATCGCACCCGACTGCGACGAGCGCGCTCCGCCCCGCCGTCTCAGTTCGCCCGCCCCCTGCCCCCGACCACGCCCCCAGCTCGGCTCCGATAGGCTCTCTACTGACCTCCCCTGACCGCGGGGCACGGGACTGGGGCCGGATATAGGTACTTGATTGGAGGTGCCTGGGAGGCCGAGCGGTCGATGGCGCCTGAGGATTGGTGGAGCGGGCGGTGGGCGGGACAGGGCGGGGCGGGGCGGGGTTTCCTAAGACGCGGAAGACCCTGCAACTTCAGTTACCCCGCGGGCCCGCCTGGGGTGCGGTCGGCCTTGTTTGTGCTGCACCAGGGTCAAAGTTCACGGCACTCCTCTGCAGCTTTACTTTTCTTGGAAGCCTCCCAGAGGCATGGGCCCCTGGGACTCCCGGGGACCACCGTGTGAGAGCCTTTGAGGAAGTCCCCATTCTTCCATTCTTACTCAGCTCCCTAAGTAGTGATGCCATCAGTTAATAGAGCGTGTATTCACTCCGGACTTGTAAATATTTCCTGAATTTAAGTTTTTTTATATCTTTGGCAAGAGAGTTGCCCTTGCATTGCGTTCGACAGACGTCAGTTTAATGCTGTTGGGGGCACAAAGATCTTTATACGGGGTGCATACTGTGAGCAAGCAAGGCATTCCACACCGATGGGGCTCATTTTGGTAGGAACAAGGACAAAACTGGAGAAATAATCAGTTTGTGAGTTTTGCTAATCGTTTTGGCAGTAGGAGCAGGAACTGTGTGGTAGGCTTCAGCGCGCTGAGTCAGCATATTCGTTTCTCCAGGGCCAATGTTTTTAATGATTCTGTGTGAACTAATGGCCAAAGTGCAACCTGTGATTATCAGAGACCGGTCTGCCCCGGGGTAAATGTGCGTCGTGTTACTGGGAGCCATTCTTTATATATTTTGAAGCTGTATAGGTTGATTAAGTCAATACCAGAAACTGAAAACTGCTACTCTTACTCATAAACCCCAAAGTTGACGGACTTTGGCAATTCAGCATTTTATGAAGAAATGGTTTCCTTTCAGGCACACAGTTTGATGCTTAGCCTCATTCAATGATGTATGTAGGACTTGGCTCTCTGAAAACTCTCCATCATTAACTCTTGTGTTAACTCCTGCTGACAAAATTTGTGTCCTAAACACTCTAAGTGTTTTCCTACGGTTTTACAATGATACTCCATTCCAATTACAATGCTCCCCTTCAAACTGGGGTGTTTGGGTATGCAGAGAGGGCCGGTAGAAATGAAGCTGGCAGGACTTAATTTGAGTTCTGAAGTAGGTGCCTCCTGAGCAGTTTTGACTAGCATTTTGGAAAGGGATGAGAGATTTCAGTGTAATTCTGTGGGAACTTGATTTTAAAGGTCTAGAGAGACTATCCAAAATTATAATACATATAAATACTTTTTAAGATTTTATTTATTTATTTTAGAGGGAGCAAGAAAAGGGCAGAGGGAGAGTCCCAAGAAGACTCGTTGCTGAGCACAGAGCCTGACCAAGTCAAATGCTCAACTGACTGAGCCACCCAGGAAGCCCCCAAAATTATTATACTCAACAACTATAAAGGTTAGGTAAGATGAAAGTCACAACAGATCTCTTCTGACTAGGTCCTCCTCTGAAAGAGCAAATTATAAATTAAGAGCTCATCATACCAATAATGCAGCTGGAAATATGGATTGAAGAAATGGAGTAAGTTTTCACTACCAGTGTTCAGTTGTGTCTATTCATATAAAAAAGAAATGCATGACCATTAACAGATGTTATTTGCAATCAAGTAGAAAGAAAACATAAGCAAGATAAAAATTTCATGTCTTGAAAAAATCAATTAGCAACGAAGTCAAATCTGTTTTTTTTTTTTTTTTTTGATTCATTATATCAATGAACTCTAATTTCTAAAATGTTGGTGCTTTTTCTGGTCTATGATTATTGCTTCTGATGGAAACCCAACTTGCTCAATATAGCTGATTACAAATAATTTAGATGTGATCTAAAATAAAAATAGAAATGACTTCATCCTTTGGGCAAGAGGCTGTTCTAAAATCCTAGTTTAAATACAGATGGTGCATCTACAGTGAGCCTTGAGAATGTTATTTAGAAAGAGCTTCAGAAGATCTCTGAACTCATGGAAAGACATTGGAGCAGTCCATTTTAGAAATTGTTGGGTTTTGTTAGGTGGAAAGATCTCCCACAAAGAGCCAAGATTTTCATTAAGACAAGGTAGAAAATAAATGTTAAAATAAATGGGATGAGAATAAATTTTTTTTTCACTTTGAGAAGACTCGGGGGTCCCATTCAGAGATGAATTTGGTCATGAAAGCTCAGGATACTGGGGCCCACCCTGGCTTTTAGATCTGTTTTCAACCTTATTACTTGTAAGTTACTTATTCTATGGAGAATGGGATGCAACATAAAGAGGGCAGGGTTACTTTAGACAAATAAACATCATAGCCTCTTTTCTTTACCCCTTTTCTTGCTACCCACAACTAGACAAGGGACATCCTAAATTTGTTCATTAAGCAAAGCTTATAACACAGTGTCTCCTACTCAGAAGGAATCACATGAATTAATTTATGCAGGTATTCAGCTCTCTTGTTTTCTAAGTTTCCACATAGCACCTTCCTTAAGTTAGCTTAATTAACTTCCTGCAAGCAGAATGTTCCACTTGCTCAGCTGAGAGATGTTAGCAAGTTATTGGTTAGGGGAAAGCACCTTTTAAAAAAGTAATATTCTAAAAAATATGGGGCAGCAGTAGTATACAGCGCTTGGGTATAATCGTGTAAACAAGGCAGCCTGGACGCTATCATTTTTTAGGTAAATGTTCACTTCTCATCTGCAAAATCGGGAGAAGACCTTACTGAGTATACCTATACAAACAGAAAGGACTCCGAGGGACTGGGAAAACACCCTTTCACTGACCCCAGAAGGGAATTATCAGCATCCTTGCCTTTCAGTTCTCAATAAAGCTCCAATTAGGGGAGGAGATAGGCTCTGGGGGATGATCACGAAAATTCTAGATGTCAGCGTTTCCTAACCCATAAAGGGGATGGATCATGATCACCTATTTCAATGAGAGAGACCACCTTCAACCCTTCTGCCTCTTTCAGGTCGCTAACGATCCTCGCTTTAGTTCTGGCTCCTTGCGCCGCCTGGCGTCTGTTTCCAGAAGTCGCCTGCGAGCTTCGGGGTCCTAGCTGCGGCCAGGCCTGTCCAAAGATTTGCCTAATTCCAGAGATCTTGTCTCCGCCCCTCCCCACTACCCGTTGAGGATTTTAAAGACGGCGATGAAAGGGCCGAGGTTAAGACGAAGGGGGCGTCCATTGGTTTCTCCACCTCCGCAAGGATGACGGAGTCAGGCGGTCCTCGGGCAGCTCGCGACCCGGAAGTCGCTGCTGGCGCGAGGCCCCCGTTGCCGAGCGCGGGCGCGCGGGGCGGAGCTTGGCGGAGAGGGGAAAGGGGTCGCCGGGGCTGCCGCCGCTCCCGCTCCTCGAGTTGGCGGCTCCCTCGGGGGCTGCTAGGCGGGCGTCGAGTCCGCAGGGCGCGCGGCCGCGGTCGCTGGGTGACAAGCTCAGCCGCGGCCAGAGGCGACATGAGCGCCGCGGGGCTGTTGGCTCCGGCTCCGGCCCCGGCTGGAGCAGCACCGGCCCCGGAGTACTACCCCGAGGAGGACGAAGAGCTGGAGAGCGCCGAGGACGACGAGCGCAGCTGCCGCGGCCGCGAGTCGGATGAAGGTGCGTGCTCTGGCTGGCCCGGCAGCCCGGGGCGGGGGTGGGACCGCTGAGGGAGTGAGTGGGCTGCAGGGAGGGGCGGGACGACCGGCGGGGAGACCTCCGGGGCTGGGGGAGGCTGAAGGGGCCGCCGGGAGGAGCGCGGCTCCAGGAAGTCACCCCAACCTGCGCTGGGCCCGGGGCTTCTGCGGGGACGTCGTACCCTAACAGTTATGGGAAGGAGGGACTTGGGGAACTGCTGTCAGAGCTGGAGGTCCCTTGAAGATTATGTCCTCCCCTCAGCCGTCTCTGGTGAACCCCAGGTCTTTCCTGGTTGGAATGAGAAAGGCTTCCATTGAGTATCTTGAGTACTCCTCCCCCTTTGAGGTCCGGAGAGAATCAGAGTAAAGCCCAGCTTGGCTTCCAGGTGCTCTCCCCGACCCTCCACCCCGGGGAAATGCTTCAGCCAGCCCTGCTTTGGGCAGCGCAGGTCAGGTTGCTTAAAAGAACGGAACCTGGAATCAGCCAGATCTACGTCTAAATTTGGCTCACTGAACCCAGCTTTGTGACCTTCGACAACTTACTTAAGCTCGCGAGCCTCAGTTTCCCTGGCTGTAACGGGGCTTCCTAGCGTAGGTGTGAGGATTAAATGAGATGTGCATAAAGTACTTAGCCTGGTACTCAGTAGATGTTTTCGTAACACTGGGGAAGCAGGGGCAGGGGGGAGATAGGGATTTGCTTAATGGTGCCCAGGTGTTGTGTTTTCAGTTCCACGTTCTTTCCGTTATCATTACTGCCTCCAAGAACGTGGCTTTTCAAACTGGGCTTTACAGTTTGGCAAGTGTGAGGAAGACAGTTTTGGAAGGATTGAGGAAGGAGCTACTGTAGAAGGAGAAAGGTGGGGGGAAAAAGCCATTAAAGGACACTGGAGGGGCACCTGGGTGGCTCAGTGGGTTACAGCCTCTGCCTTCAGCTCAGGTCATGATCCGAGGGTCCTGGGATCGAGTCCCGCATCAGGCTCTCTGCTCAGCAAGGAGCCTGCCCCCCCCCCCCCACCCCGCCCCCTGCCTCTCTGCCTACTTGTGATCTCTGTCTGTCAAATAAATAAAATCTTTAAAAAAAAAAAAAAAAAGGAACACTGGAGAAGAAAGGGGAGATAGAGACCAATATATGGGTGGAATATAGGGCTGTGGAGGAAAAGGTTAGACTAGTTGCCGGACTGAGGAATAGGTTTTATTCATCTCAGTTCCCCACTGCCTAGTACAGTGGCTGGCCTATGACAGGAATTCAGTGAAGGTCTCATGACTGAAAGAGAGGAGAAGGCTTTGTGAGGATTTGGATCTGCAGCAGCCTTTAAAAAGGCAGCGACATGTGCAGGTAATAAAGTTGAAGGAACTAATTGCGTTTGATTGAACTACGTTTGAAGATAGGCCTTCACCAGGGATTTTCAATGTGAGACACTTGTAATTGCTCTTAATGTCCACAAGGGGGAGCTGCGAAGCCAGAATAGATTTTTATCCTTGCTCAAGCTGGGCTGTTGAAATTATGTAGACACTCCACTATTTACTTTAAGAACAATGTTTAAAGTGTTCTGAAACACTTTCTGTTTTATCATCTTGTCTCCTTTCTTCTCCCTTTAGTTGTAACTTTGAAAATAATTTCAGTTATTAGAGTTCACTTCATTGGTTTGGGTTCTCCTTTGGATAAATGTGATGTAAAAATCCGTTAAGGTCATGGACCAGAAGAGAATGGACTTACTAGGTCATTTTGGAGCAGTGAGCAAGACCCGGCTGCCTCTAGTTGTCCTGTCTGACACAGCTCTGTTTCCTGAGTGGCCAGAGGGGCTTCTGTAGAAGTAGCAGCCTTGACCACGACTGTCTCACGGACCCTGTTCTCTGGTTGCACTTGAGACGAAGACAGCTCTTTGCATAAGTCTGGCCATGTCTAAGTTGAAAATGGCATTTTTCTTTCCTGAAGTAACTGTGTAATCTTTCTCACTGATGGCTTCCCATGGGCCTGCATTGATTTTACAGAAGTTTAAGTATCACTTTGTCAGGTGATACTATCTTTATGAATTATTATTTTAACCTTTTTTCCCTGATTTTACTTAGACACTGAAGATGCTAGTGAAACTGACCTGGCAAAGCATGATGAAGAGGACTATGTAGAAATGAAGGAACAGTGAGTGTGATTCTTATATTTCTTGCTTGGAATACAGAATTGACAAGTAAATCTTGACAGTGACCTTGCGTGTATGGTTTTGGGAGCTTCCAAAGTCCAGTATATCTGTGCAGTTTCCCCTTTAAATTTGTCATGTGTAATCGGTCTTCCTGTTAAAAGAATCTTTTGAGCATTGGCTAGGAAGAACCTTGAAGGAAATGATTCCAGGGAAATAAGGCCACGTATCAGGAGAGAACTGTTCCCCAGTTCTTCATGTTTTTGTTTAAATGTGAAAACCATTACTCAGGATAAAGGGTGCGTCATAACTATTTGGTTCTCAGATGGAAATGACCCCTCTGAGAGCTGATGGTGTGCTGGCGCCTAGAGAGCTCAGGGAGAGCTGGACTGGAGAGCAGGGCTCCTGACTCCTGCTCCAGTGCCCTTTCCTCTGGTCACACATCCTGCCCCAAGTCTTCTCTAACTGTGCCTAGAGAAACCAGAACCACTCGTTTTTATTCTAAACACAGATGGAAGACTGTATAAAATAGATCTCAGAAGTATTTGTTGAATGTATTTTGAGGCTCTTGATTTGACTTTAAATTCTTTCATCTTTAAACTAGATGATCCACATTCCTTTTTTTGTAGGTCCTATTTTGCCAGTGGTTCGTGACCATCGTCTGGATTCTGTTCTCCTTTTCAGGCTCTGGAACCCAAAGGGGTAATTCAGCTAAATTCCACCAATGCTGCGTAAAGAAGGATTACTTTAATAATTCATGTGATTTTTCTCACAGCTTCATTCCTGAAACTGTGCTTGGTCTTTATTTTTATTCTCTTCAGGCTTTTTACTGATTTACCTTGAACCATTTCCACATACCTTTCCTTTTACCAAATCTGATTTGTTTGCTTGTTTATTTTTTCAGTACAAGCTCAGAAGTCAAAGGCATTGTTTGCTGCATTCGGTGTGGTGGGAAATTGAATACATTGGGTTCTAAATACTGATCTATCGTGTGCAGTTGATACATCTGTTTTCTCTGTTTGGCATGTATAAGCATTCTTTTGAGATTTTTTTTTTTTTAATTGAATGTGCCTCAATATAGGATACAGAAAAATTTTTTATTAAAATTCCTTGTGTGATTCAAGGTGAGTGTTGAGAGTACATCAGAATTCTCATTGATCTTTTGATCAGACCACCTGTGTAATTGCCAGATTCTGCCAACTCTTTCCTCAGTCTGTGTGAATAGTTCAGTTGTATTTACAGCCCTTACTGGAGCAGTCAAAAAGCTCTTGTGCCTGTTATTTGTTGGACAGTGTTCGTTCAGGTTGCAAATCTTGTTTTTGTCACTGTAAAATTGGTGTTTTTCAGGTAGAAGCAAAAATACTGTTGATTCATTTATGGAATCCACCATTCAAACAGACCTTGTTGTGGGGCATCTGGGTGGCTCAGTCACTGGGTGTCTGCCTTGGCTTAGGTCATGATCCCAGGGTCTTGGGATCGAGCCTCGCATTGGGCTCCCTGCTCAGTGGGAAGCCTGCTTCTCCCTCTCCCACTCCCCCTGCTTGTGTTCCCTCTCTCACTGTCTCTCTGTCAAATAAATAAATAAAATCTTCAAAACAAAACAAAACAGACTTGTCAGAGTGTATAATTGCTTATAATCCATTTGGTGTGGGTTGTGGGGGAGAGAATAACACACTAGGTGGTTTTGCTTTATGTGTGCTGTGTGTTCTCATCCAGCTGGGGCTGCAAATAAATCCTGCATTTTAACTTTTCTTACTGAATAACTATTATTTCTGATCCTAAAAGAGTAGTGCTTTTAAAAAATGACACGAAGGTTTATTAACTTGGTGCTTACACAGCTATGCTATCTACATAGCAAAATGTGCCAAAGGCATAATCTTACTCCTTTAGAATTTATAATCAAATTGTAGAGTTGGTAGAAGAGCTGCTGTGTTAATGCCTTTGTTACGTTTTCATGTGTGTTATTTATACTTCTAAATCCAGAAGGAAATGGGATCACGCTTTAGATTTTTTTTTTTTCTTCTTGCCTGTTTATCATTGTCCTTTATTTATTAAAATCTGCGTGTCTTCATTTTTGTAGATTTTGGACTGATTCTCTAAAGGTGCGGTAATACAGGAGAGTCTACAGAACTGGGATATAATTCAAGAACACAGAATCCTTGTCCCTTTCTGATCCCATTAGCTGCTGGTACATTTTAAACCAGTTGGCGGGCTTCCATTTTCTCTGTCTCCTAAAGGACGTTAATAACGTTCCGGTAACCGCCTAGGCGGTCCCCGTGTGTAGATTATTTTGGAGTCGAGTATTGAATGCTTTTGTCTCTCAGTGCGGCTTTCGTTGTCTCTCTTCACAGGATGTATCAGGATAAACTGGCTTCCCTCAAGAGACAGTTGCAGCAGCTGCAGGAAGGTTGGTGTGTCTTCTCACCCTTCGTTTCGTTTCTTTTTTTTTTTTTTTTTTTTTTTAAAGATTTTATTATTTGACAGAGACACACAGCAAGAGAGGGAACACAAGCAGGGGGAGTGGGAGAGGGAGAAGCAGGCTCCCCGCCAAGCAGGGAGCCCGATGCCGGGCTCGATCCCAGGACCCTGGTATCATGACCTGAGCTGAAGGCAGCCGCTTAACGACTTAAGCCACACAGGCGCACCTCACCCTTTGTTTCTAAATACACTGACTATCCCAAGCCTTCGAAGTCTGTGTATTTAACACCCCTGTGGGGAGTGATTTAAAATTTTTGCTATCTTCTGTCAGGAGAGTGGCGATTTTCTAACATTTTTGGACCCTCACTTAGGGCTTTTTGAAGAGCATGAGCTGAAAACCGCTGTGAGCCTAAAGCTAGAGAGAGAGATTGCTAAAGAATACATGAAACTGCACCATTTTTTCCTAAACTAAATGCCGATGAGCTGTGGATTAGCCTTATTGTGTTCTCTGTGGTTTGCTTGGTAAGTTAAAAGTATTAAAAGTGGACTGTATCTTGTCCAGGGCTGTTTCCAGCTAAAGGCAGTTCAGCACGGGGTTGGGAGCGTTGGCTCTCAGGGCCGTCGCGGGCCTGAATCCTTACTGTGCTGCTTCCTGGATATTTGACCTTGGGTGTGTCACTTCTTCCTGCTTAAATTTGTTTTCCAATTTTTGAAATGCACAGAGTGGAAGCCAATGATGTGATTAGTGGTGAGGGGCGTCTAGCCCTGCGGGGTGCACTGGGAGCTCAGGGTCAGCTGTGGCCAGCAACGCTTTGGCTTATATTCCCTGAACTACCCCATCTGACATTGATTTGTGCTAAATAGTGAAAAATGGTTCCCACGAATTGCATTTGTATATCTTTGTTTTGTTTGTTTGTTTTTTCCTTTCCATAATGAAGTATTACCAGAGAAAGGAGTACATTCTACTCTAGCAAGTCTGTAGGGCATACCTGGCATGGTTGAGTGCGGGATTTTGAAAAAGATACTCTCCTAATGAATTACGATCAGGAAACCCTTCCCACATTAATTCTGACTCTCCTAATTCACTGATGTTCGAACGGCAATGACTTGAGTAGACATTGGGTAAAAATCTATACCTGAGCTTTTCAGAATTGTCACTGGCCGTGTGTGGCTATTTAAATTTAATTAAATAAAATTAATAATTCAGTTCCTCAGTGCACTTGCTACATTTCAGGTGCTTAGTAGCTATGTATGACTGGTGGCTCCCGTATTGAACAGTGAAACCTAGGACCTTTTCACCGTTGCAGAGAAAGTCCTACTGGATGGCATATGATCTGGGCCTTACTGAGAGAATGAGCTTTTTTCCGAAAAGGGAGCCCCATTGACTCCCAACTGCAGCAGCTGGTGATCAGAATCACTTGAGGAAGCGTGTACCTTTCCACTCCCATCACTTGTTCTAGCAAGCGTTACTTGCTACAGAGTCTTAATCCACTAGGTGGGATGATTTCTGCTAGGGGCCTTGGTTGAGAACCAGTCTAGTTAGCTCTGTTTGCACGTTCCTTTCCCTGGTTTTATTTACTCTGATGGTATTAAAACAGTTATTGCTGGTGCTAGGCAATTTTAGGAACTGAAATGTAGGGCAGATTGATTTTCACAGTAACGTTTTATTTTGTAAATCTCAAAATCAGGTACGTTACAGGAATATCAGAAGAGGATGAAAAAACTAGATCAGCAGTACAAAGAGAGGATCCGAAATGCAGGTGAGGCTCTGTCTCTGGTGGGAACACATCATCTTCAGGTGTCCTTTTGCTGGTCATCTGTATAATGGGGCCATAAGAGCTGTTGTATAAAATGCAAATTCTATATTCTCAGATATGGGGGAGGGGAGAGTTTTGGGGAAGAGAGACTCTAAAGCTTCAGTTGTAGAAAACTGGCTCATCTTTCTTCCAGTGGCCAATGAATGGCCTGTAGTTGAGCTTACTAGTGGTGGCTCCATACAGAATAGGCTCCCTGGCTCCCCTGGGTAAGTGGTTTCACACATTCTTTCTCACGTCTGCGTGGCTTCCCGAGTGGACCATGAGAGGAGCTACATGGGAAAGAAAGGTAGCTTGTTTCACTCTTGCTGGAAGGTCGTTTCTTCTGGTATCCTCTGCTCTGGGAGGAAGAGGTGTTCTTGTTTTTCCCCTGGAGTATTACAAGCATTTAGGGGAAGAGTATACTGTAACAGAGCAAATGTATTCATTCAGTAAGAATTTGTTGAGCACCTGCTATATCCAAACTCTGAGCAGCATGAAATAGCGGAACACATTGTCCTTGACTTTAGGAAATGTGCGATTTCATTGACGGAAGACATCCAAACGTGGAAAAAGTTAAGGAACTTTCTGAGGTAAATGAAGAATCATGCACAAAGTAAGATGTGACTGTTCAAAGTGCATAAGCATTCCTGGGCTTACAGGGAATGTGTCATAAGTGTTCGATTTGGAAGCTCCTCGCCAGCCAGCATTTTGAGCGCCAGCATGGTGTCCCTGCAGTGGTGAAAGTGATGTTGCGTTTTTCAGATGCGGTCTGGGTGCCATTCCTCGGGCTGCTGTCCTCTCGCTTTCTGATCCGGTGACTTCCCAGCTTCCCATCGGTGGAACTGTTCCATCCTCTGGGAAGTAGACGTCCCTTGTACACCAACAGGCAGAAGGGGAGCTGAAGGGCCTGGGAGGCACTGGGAAAAAGGAAATAATAGCCTCTGTCCACATCCTGGCTGCCCCTGAGCTTACCCCCACTGCGAGCTGAGTTCCTAAGGCACCTCCTCAGGACATCGGTGAAATCCCTTGCCACCTTCCCAGTGTTCCCCTATAGCAGGGAAAGGTGCACCGTGGAGGGATGAAGGCCCAGGTTTGGTCTCCTCTCTGCACCTTAGATCTTGTGCCTGTAAGGAGGTTTGCTCTTGGAACCTCAGGTTCCCCATCTGTAGAGGGGAGTACACAAACCTCCCAGAACTGGCGAAAGAGGCAAGAAGGAAAGTAAATGGACGTGATCCGCAGCTAGAACTGCTGCGTGAGTACTGAGTGGTTTTCCTTAGTTCCGCTCTCGGTCCTGTTCTTGCAGGTTCTCTCAGAAACATTTTCTGTCCCCTGCCCCCTCACCCCCAGGTATAAATGCTGAAGAACTCCTAAATGAGTCCCAGCTTGAGCCTTAAAGGGCACATTCTCACAGAGCTAACCCGCTTGTTCCTGTTGTGTTGGTGCCTGGCTGTTGTAACTCAGACCTCTTACTACTCTGAGAGCTGATGGCCATTTTGACTTGGTGCAGGGTGGTTTCTAAGAATGGCACATAGGCAATGCATCAAATTCATTTGTGCGTCTAAAGCACTGGTGGGAGTGAGCGTGTTGGTCTAGGTGTGCCTGGGCTCAAGTGCTCAGCCATTGCCAGGGCCAGAATGATCAGGGCTTCCGGGTGATAAAATACTTGTCCCTTTCCTCAGTTAAATTTATTTTTCTATTTCTTTTTTCTTTTTCTTTTTCTTTTTTTTTTTTTTTTTTTTTTGAAGTAGGTTCCACACCTAGCATAGGGCTTAAACTCAAAGCCCTGAGATTGAGAGTCCTGTGCTCCACTGACTGAGCCAGCCAGGCACCGCTCCTCAGTTAAATTTCTTATTTATTTATTTTTTTTAAACACTTTATTTATTTGTTTGACAGACAGAGATCACAAGTAGGCAGAGAGGCAGGCAGAGAGAGAGGAGGAAGCAGGCTCCCCGCTGAGCAGAGAGCCCCATGCAGGGTCCGAGATCCCAGGACCCCCGGATCATGACCTGAGCCGAAGGCAGGGGCTTTAACCCACTTAGCCACCCAGACGCCCCTAAATTTCTTATTCGGCATCTGTTCATTGAGATCTGAATTCTTAATCTGGAGTCCCGAAACTCAAATTTCTACGAAATTACCTGTGGCTGTGCCTAGATGCTGTTTCAGGGGGAAAGAGATCCATAGGCTTTATCACATTTGTGAAGGAGACCGTGGTAAAATGTAATCCATGCGTCCTGGAGTTGTGGGTTCCCCAGCAATCTTTGTGACGTAGGCAGCAGCTCCACCGTCACCCAGAAAAGATGAGATGCTGTGGATCTATTTTGTTCAAAGGACTGGCTCTAGAGAGGCTTACAATCTAGTGGTGGGGGGAGCTGCTGTGTAAACAGCTGCTAGTCGCCTGCACAGAGTGGGTGATGAAGCTGGTGACCAATGTCTGGTGGCTGCTTGGACATGTCCAAGGGGCGGATGGCAAGTGAAGGGTCCTCAGGAGAGGCTCTGTTAACTCTGAAGCTTGGAATTGCACTCAGACCCAGTGGGTGTTGCCGTGAAGGTGAGGCAAGACGAGGGGGCTTCGTGGCTTGTGAAGAATGCCCCTGGGGGCTCAGAACCTCTGCCCTCTGAGTTCTCTGGAACTATCCTTCCTTGCCACACAGAGACCTTCACACATGCTTTAAAAACATCAGTGTTGACTCTGCTTCGGGAGTAATTGCGTTGTTCCTTCCTGACCCATCCTACCCTGTAGGTACTGAGTGAAAGAAGGGGGATAACTTTTGGTGTTATTTTTCTGGGGGTACTTTGGTTCCTGCTGCTTGCTTTTGACCTTGGGCAGAACTGCTGGAAGTGATCCTGTTCGGGGCCAGATTTTAACTAGTCATGAGCGTTTCTTCCATCCTTCCCCTTCATGTATATCAACACTTTGCTGATGGAAACATTTTGCTCTGCGTTACCATGCTCTTAGAAAGCAGTTAGTGCCTCTAAATGAATCCTACCATCACTGTCTAGAAAGGTGACACGGCCTAGCGAATCTAATTGCACGTTTTATCTCTTTCAGAGCTCTTCCTCCAGCTGGAAGTAAGTACCTTGGATCTTCTGGGTTGCAGGCCCTCTGTGAGACTGGAATCTTGCTTTCCCAATCCAGAGAACCTTTCCTTCTGTCACCAAATGGATGGTTAAGCCACCAGCTGCAAGCCTTCATCACTCTTCTGTTTGACTAAAGGACATGTTGGGTCTCAATTTGGAAATTCCCATCTATTCATTTGTAGGTTGAATAGCCTCTGCTTGTCACAGGACACTAGGGGATGCTCGCCTCTCACTGCTTTCTTGTTGACTTTTATCTCACGTTAAAGCCGTCCAGGAGTATGTCTGAATTATAATGGTCTAATAATTTGTTATATTGGTCCTTGATGCAGCCCAGCCTCTGAATTGGCTCAGTGGTTCAGGTTTTACAGCTGAAGCTGTCTGGGTCGGTAGGAAAGACGGATTTAACATTATTGCTTTCCTTCAGCAGACATCTAAGTATTGCTAAGTGAAGCATAGTGTGGTGGTACAGAGATGGGGGCCTGAATCTTGGATGATGATCTCTTCCTGGGGTGGCTAGTGTGTAGGTGTGGGGAGGTCCCATCTTTATCAGAGCCACACAGGCGTGTGAGAAGGTCATGCTTTAACAGAGCACGTTATCAGACACCATTTTACTCTGAAGGCAGTGCAGCACTCATTGTCACAGCCCGCAGGATTATGGCATCCCCAGCTGTGGCCCACCGTAAGCGGCCTTGTTCTTCACTTAATACGATGGTGAGATTTGAAAAATGAATGCTTTTTTTATTTGGTATTTCAGTGTTTGAGTACTTGAGGGTTCAGGGGTACCTAATAAATGATCTTCTATTCTAGTTGATCTTCATTTTGGCATAAATACCAACAAATACAGTAACTTGGGCCACCTTGACTCAGTATTTTGTAATTGCAATGAATTTTGAATGTAGGTATTACAACCGGAATATACTGTTTTCCTCCAAAATTGTGGCTTTAAAAGAATTTGTCTTTGAGAATCTTAAGTTCTATTAACATAGAAGCCATGCAGTGTAAGAGGTGGGAGAGAGGAAATACTGAGTAGCAAGGAGGGGTACGCTCGTAAAGACAAGCAGAAGTCGTATGGTTCAGTTTTACGCATTCATGGGGAAACTCGTTCCCAGACGTCTCACTACTGCCAGTGCATGTGTGAGGGCCGCTCTCCCACATTTCTCATAAAGGTATTTTCTGGGCTCCCGAGTGTAGAGTCAGGCTTGGAGTTGGAGCTCTGGTTGCAAGGGCCCCACGGAGCCCTAGCCTGTGTTTCTCTTTCGCTCAGACTGAACAGGTGGAGAGAAACTACATTAAAGAAAAGAAGGCAGCGGTGAAAGAATTTGAAGACAAGAAGGTAGAGCTGAAGGAGAACCTGATTGCTGAGCTAGAGGAGAAGAAGAAAATGATCGAAAATGAAAAGCTGACTATGGAGCTGACAGGAGGTATAAAAGCACCCCAGGGCGGGATCCCGGGAGCTCTGGGTGGGTCCCGGAGGGGTGCTGCGGTCCTGCCTGTGTTCCTTCTCCAGAGTGAGCCGGAAGGAGGGTGGGTTTTGACCCGACGGCTCAGAGTTCTAGCTCCGTGTGGTACTGGCTGTGCGACTTCAGTCAAGCTACTGAATGTCTCTGAGCCTACTTCCCCCTCTACAAAATGGGGCTGATCAGACCTTGTCTCACAGGACTGTGGTCAGAAATGTGAGTGCCTAGCACAGTGCCCTGTGCGGAACAGGTGTTCAGTGAATGGTAGACCTTTAGTCATGGCTGCAACTGCTGGCTTACGCTTTATTCAAATTCCTGGGTCAGCTGGCATTCATGGATGCCTTACCCGAGTGCCTCTGGGGTGGTAGGAATCTCTCTGCTTTGTATTTTTCAGTCTGCCTTAATTACAGAAAAGGCATTGTCTTCTTTGACCTAGATGTGAGAACAAAGGTGTTAGACTGTATCATCTGTGCTCTTAGATCCCTTCCCTAGGTGTTACTGTGAACATTTCAGACAGAGTTGGTACAAATTTGGCAGGAGTAAGCTAAGAGTAAGCTAAACTGAACTAGTTTCCTGTAAAGGTAGTAAAGTTACATTAGACTCTGCCAGTCCTCCCTTGCCTTCTAGTTTTTAGTAATCCGCATACGGGAACTCAGCAGGATGTAGGCAAGTTTAAGGGAGAAACAATATGGGCTGTTCTGTTGCCATATGTAGACTGATGAATCCTAGAAGGGTGCAGGGCAGGAAGTGGCTCGAACTATGTATTTTGGAACTTGGCAAAATTTCTGTCAGTGAATACTGCAAGACAAGCCAGTGGGGAGTTTGTCACCTGGCTGTGTGAGCACATGCCTTCTGCACACCCTCACATTTCACTCTTACCATGTGCAAAAGGTGCTGTAGCTCTGGCGTGTCTCGTTTTAACAGACGTCTATAAGAGATGCGTTGTTTTCAGATTAAGTCCTTGGGGGTGGACTTAAAAAGTAAGAGTTGAGAAGTAGTATTTCCTCTTCTGTATTTCTGGTGCTGTGACCCAACACGGCCCTTCGATTGACATAAACGTCTGGCCCCAACCCCCATGATGTACCTGTGAGAATGTGGTGTGTCTGAAGTGGGTGGGGGCGGGGGTCTGATTCTTGAAAAATCTCTCTTCTGGTATCTCTCTCCTTGAAAGACTTGGCAGAAGGAATTAATTCCTTGAAGGCCTCTGCAAGCGGCTTAGAAATGTTTTTTTTTTTTGGTGAGAGTGGATGTTAAAATAGCATCTCCAGACAGCACCGTCTTGTTCTTGTGGCCACGCTTTGTTGATGAGCCCGCTAGCACGATGCTCCCTTGTTTGGGACCAGTCTGCCTGCCTGTTTTCTGACCTGGACACCATTTTCTTTGACGATGGCTGTTTCTGGCGTTGATGCCTCATCGCTCTCTGCTAGAGCCACCAGATGTTCAGGAGTCTTCATTAGGCTAGTGGGAAATAGTGTCAGTTTATAGCTGCTCCCTTTCCATCTGCAGGGAAAGCTGTCCTCACCTTACCTGTGATTCTGCATCCTGCTTGTTGACAAGCGATCGACATTGTTTGGCCAGGCTGTTTTGCAGCCAGAATCTTAACTGGGACAGGAGGCCTCCCCAGTGACTGGAGGCTGAGCCTGCCAGGGTAGAAAAGACAAATAAATGCAGGGAAGTCATTTGTAACGCAGTAAAATAGATTACACAAGTGCTTAAAGCTAGCCACAGGCATTAAAGGTACCGATGTCCTTCCTCAAGCCATTTGGTACCCTTGGTATGGAAAGCTGTGCCAAGGTAATGATAGAGTGTCGGAAGAAAAGGCAGTGGAGCTAGAAGGATAATTAGCGTTTCCACAGATGGTGCTGCTATGGTGCTGGATTAAAGGCCTGATTTCATTCCTCTCCTTGACTGACTGATTTCACCTTTGTGGATTGATGCCCAATCTCCGCGTTGCCTGGCTCTGCCCGGAAAAGATCTTTCGTAAAATCTCTTCTTCTGGTTCCACGTGAAGATCTCTCGAAAAACAACATTGATTTAGAGTCTGATGGGACGCTTAGACCAAATAACCCATTGGGAATGGGGGGGGATCAAGTGATCTGCTTTGTGTGAAGGGCCCTGAAAGCATTCGCAGACTCTGCGGGAGTTAGTGGAAGGTTCTCTCCACCGCCCACGCTGCTTGAGAAGAACTCAGGACAGCGGGTTGTGCAGGTGGAAAGGCGTCCTGTCGGTAAGGAGACCGGGGTGGATTCTCGATCAGTGCTCCCCCACCTTGGGGGTGTGCGTGAGTCAGCTGGGGGTCTCAATGATAGGCAGCTGCTGCTTCAGCGGGTCCGGAGTGAAGCCTGCGATCTCGCATTTCTAGCCGCCGGCCAGGGGCTGCTGATGCTGTCCGCTGGACCACACTGAGTAGTGAGGGTATAGGTGGAATTTCCCAAGTGTGAGTTTTCTCTGAAGTTGAGGCCAAGGTGGTAAGTAACCCAGTTAATCAGTGTGAACTTAACAAGATTTCAAGTGTGGGGAGCTTTATCATTCTTTATCCATCTGTCCTCTTCTGTCTTGAGGATAGCTCCCTTTTCTCCTTTGTCTCAACAGCCCGCCAACCACTACTTCATTTTCTTTTGTAAATTTTTGCCTCTCTGGGGCATCTTCCAACCCTCAGGCCCCTATGGCAGTTACTCAAGACCTCATCAAGCCTGTGAGTTTCCCTTAGAAGATAAGTGGATTCATACCTGGAGCCATGAGTACTTATAATACTAAAATCAAAATTATGATATCAAATATAACGTTAAAGGACTGCTTCCTGAGTATGTCCCTCGAGCCAGGTGTTACGTGAAAGTATGAGAACTGCCTTGGTAGGCTGATGGATGTGGACGGATCCTGACCCTGTCGTGAACTTGGTTCTGTGGTGGGGTTTTCTTATTTAGGAAGGAGACGGTACCATCTGCTTTGGAGATTTGGTGCAAAGATGGGGTGAGACAGTGCCTATGAGGTACTTCAAGAAGCGGCCGGCACATAGAGTGAGCACTTCGGGAAGTTGTAAGGTCCTTTGACCTGACTTGGCAAAGCAGCCTCAGAGGAACGGAGGCATCTGTTCAAAGTGCCCCAGCGTGGTAGTGCGTAAGCCAGAATTGGTCTTACCCACCACATGATAACTGACTTTCTACCGTGGAATTACTGTGGATTCGTGTGCTACTGAGTGATTCATAAAATGAGGCTAGTAGGTAAGGACTGTGTCCTCAGGGAGCTTGTATTCTCCTAGTTACAAGACTGACACAGCTTCTTCGTCTTGCCCAGTGTAAGACGGTGTCCACAGAGCATGCTCCTAAATGAAGGTGAAGATTTCTCAGGTTTGTTTTTACTGATCGTAAAACCTCATGGAGGTCTCTGTGGTTCTGATGCGGGCATGGTTTCCCGCAATGAGGAACAGATGCCAGTGAGTAGGAACCTTGGAAGTCCAGGCAAGGAGAAAAGTCCCCATGAAATATCTGGCTGGGGAGAGTGGAAGAGGTGACCTGGACTTTGGGTGGAGCGGGCTTGTCCCCAAGACGGCTTTGCTGGTGCTGCCATTGTGGAATTGAGGTGTTTTCAGAGGAAGTTCACTGTCTTAACACCATCCTTATTCTCCGGAGAGCTTTGTCCCGAGGGAGATGGGGCCCTTCGTTCCTACCCTGGTTGGTCACTGAAGACCTGACCTTGATTCTTCTCTCACCTCTCCCCACCCATCTCCTACCAGCACCCACAGCACTATTCCTGATGTGGATGAGCCCCTCCCAACCCCTTAGGGAGGGGCCTGGGCTTTGCTCTGGGCCACTGGGCTCGCCCCATGATGCCCTGCTTCAGGTTTGGGGGCAATGGCCAATCTGCTATAGTGGTTACGCTGCAGTGGCTTTTTTTTTTTTTTTTTAAATTAGCACAAACCAGCATTGGAAGGGGTGGGGAGAAGCAGAGGGAGAGAAACACAAGCAGACTCCCCGCTGAGTGCGGAGCACAGCTCGGGACTCTGATCTCAGGACCCTGAAATATGACCTGAGCTGAAGCCAGGAGTCGGATGCTCAACTGACTGAGTCACCAGGTGCCCCAACATTCTTAAGGAGGCTCCTCTGAATCACTGTAGCTGCTATTTTTCAGTGGCTAAACAAGTGTTTGGTTTTAGTAGTTTAAGTATGTTTTTGTGAAGCTTTTACTGCATTTATGTGCCATAGGCCTGTAAGCTGTTGGAGTGAATGACTAGGTCCAGAGAAGTGTGGAACCCAAGGCCAGCAGGGAAGTGCTAATTGTATGGTAATTGCAGGTAATTAATGTTACCGGGAATATGTCTCCATAGGGACGGTGCTTTAATGGCTCTGCCCAGCACTGACGCAGCCTGCGTCCCATTTCGTAGCCAGCATGCCCGGTGCTACCTGGAGGGTGCCCGTGTCTGTCGGGAGGCCGTTCCCGCTGGCCTTGCCAGTGAGCAGAGTAGGAAGGATTTGCACTATTGTCACGTAGACAAGGTGGTTGGGAGAGGAGTACTCATTCAGTGTTCTGTCTCCTCTCTTCCTCCCGCCTCTGGTGTATTGGGTGCTCAGTTGGGTCACTGTTGATGTTCAGTTGGACCCATAAAAGGTCTTGGGTTTTCTGAGAGGCTTTCTGACGTAAGTCAGAGTTGTGTTGGGCTCGTCTGCGAGGCCAGCTGACTTCCCGCTCAAGTGCCTTCTCCAGGGCTGCCATGCTCCAAGGTCTGGGTTTTACTCTCGGAAGTTTGATTTTTGTGGTGGATCCAGATTGAGCCCGCTGGGACTCTCGCTGGCCAAACTCCAGGGACGTTGATATTATAGACTCAGAAGGCCAGCCTCTTGCTTCTCGTGAGAAGTGGAACTTCTGGGTGGGTTCAGACCCAGGTAGTCCGATATCCTTTCCCCTCTGTGAAAAATGTAATCGCAGGAGGTTGGAGCAAAGTGCGTGGAGTAGGTAATTTGTGTAGTTTGGGGCTGTGATACTTATATGGCGGTCTTCCCTACAAGTCGCATCTTCCACGTGGACCATGGCCAGGCCTGCTCCCCACTCTCCTGGATGGTGGTGGGGACAGGCCAGTACATTTCAGAGGTGTTTTTCAGAGCACCTTCCTTCTGCTGAAGTTGTCTTTTGGATGAAAATTGATTAGGTTATTGTGGTGACTAGGCTAGTAAAATGGGTCAATTTTCACTATTTCCTAAGAAGAATTCGATTATATATTCTGATCTATGAGTGATGCAGCTACGATTTTCTGAGCTTATTGGCCATGGTAAGACTGCGTTACTCCCACATTCTCTCAGCTGTGCCTTTACTTGGCTTACTTCCATCAAGTATTGCCCACCTTCCCCACCCCCCAGACTTGGCTGCCCAGAGGGCAGGGCACACTGGGCCATTGTCTTCAGTGACTAGAACATTCCATGACGTCCACGTGCTAGGTGCTCTTTCTCTAGTGGTCTTCGGGTTTGGTGAGCTCCTTTCACACCTTGTTTTCTGAATTAGGCGTGAATGTTGCAGAGCCTCAGAGCTAATGTCACTTGTCATCAAGTATGTAACTTCATTCAGCTGTTTGCCCCTTGGCTTTTTAAAGAGATTTTTGTATAGTGTTTTCTTGGCTGCAGACGCGATAAAACTAGCATTGATTGAACTCTTGCTACGCCAGGCATCGTGTTTAGGGCTTTACTGGTATCAGCTCCCGTAACCCTCCCAACATCCTGTGGGGGAAGCATTACTGATAATTCTGTTTTATGAAGAAAGTTGAGACAAGTGTTTACATGGCCTGCCTTAGGTCACGTGGCTGCAGCAGGGAGTCACGACCGCCGCCTGTAAGTTAGTGGAGAAGTGTGCCAGCGTGGCTGAGGGTGAGAGATTGCTGGTAGAGGGGACGACTGTCTCCTCACTTTTTCTCAGGGGTGAGTGTGTTTGTCCTACTTCCTCATGCCCCCACTCCCCTGTATACCTTTTTTTTTTTTTTAAGATTTTTATTTATTTATTTGACAGAGATCACAAGTAGGCAGAGAGACAGGCAGAGAGAGGAGGAAGCATGCTCCCTGCTGAGCAGAGCCTGATGCGGGGCTCGATCCCAGGACCCTGGGATGATGACCTGAGCTGAAGGCGAGGCTTTAACCCACTGAGCCACTCAGGCGCCCCTCCCCCATATACCTTTACAAATACTCATCAGGTCTGTGGTTCTCATCACTTACCTTCCACTTATAGGGGGTAAAAAAATCATTGTTACCCATTTCCCTTTATAAGAGCAACACACAGAAGTATCTTTTGACTTCGTACATGTGATTATTATATATTCACAGATTGTGCACCTTGCTGTGGTGGAAGGGCTACACTTGCATTCCATAAGGTTGTCCTGTCTGCTGTGCTGATAGTACGCACGGTCATGAATGAATGATACTGTCAGGCTTGACGTCATCTAGTTGTTCTGCAGGAAACTCCGTAGAGCCCGTACTGTGTGCCTGAACTATTGTGAGGTGCTGGGGTGGAATTCAGGAATTTCAGGGGAAAATGTGCCATACAGTGTGGGGCTTGCTAGCCAGAGCTTTGTACAGAGGTTTGCGCTGGTTGCTTGGAAGATGGTGTGACTCTGGAAGCCATCATGGGACAGGGAGCATTGAGCTGGCTCTCAAGGGATGTTGTGTAGGAGTATGCTGGGCAGAAAAGAGGGGGCCAGGTAGAGGTGATGGTGTGTAAAGGCTTGAGGACATACATAGTAAGGCAGGTGACCTTGGGTGAGAGACTTGGCCTATTTTCTGTAGAGCGTGGTGAGCCATAAAAGTATTGAATAAGAAGGGGGATGTGTAGAATGATCTGATTTGTGTCTTAGGGAGATTGCTCTATGGGAGGTGAGGATAGGAGGAGGGGATGGAGTTGAGAGGTGGTTTAACAGCAAAACTGTCCATGATCTGGTGACGATGATGTTTCAGGGAAGGAAGATAAGTCACAATGACAGAATCTGTTCTGGCTGGGGAAGATGGACAGATGAGATGCCCCCGAGACACGGGAGAGGAGGCAGCCCTGGGAGGTGAGACACGAAGTGAGGTCACTTGGGTCATTCAGAATGGATGGTGTCAGTGGGCATAGGTTGCCATTCAGAAGGTTGGGGCAGCTGGCATCGGTGATAGAGGCTTACTGGGACACAGTCTGAAACCTGACTGGACTCCAGTGGGCACCAGCGGAAAGGAGCCTAAGGGAGCAGATCAGGAGACGAGAGCTCTGTGCAGTGGCGGCTGGGGAGGAGAGATTTTAAGGCAAAGAGAGTCAGCAACAGTGCAGACTGCAGAGAGAAGTCAAGAAGAACGAAAGAGACTTTATTATGAGCCTTCATTAGATCATTTTTGACAGTCAGGTAGCAACGAGAGGTTATAAAACAAAAGAGTCCAAGGTTGTAAATGAACACATCCTATAAAGATGTTGGCACCGAGGCCAGTGGCCTCTTGGTCTTGTGCACAAGTGTGCTTCAGTTCTCCCTCCCTCTGTGAGAACAGCAGGAATTAGTTGACCTAGATGATCCAAAGGTTCCTTCTGATCCCAAGAGCCTACCACTCTGTGGCTTCTGAGTTTGAGGGAAGAGGAGGAAGGTCCTAGTTTACAGGATGCTGGAGAGATGCTTCCACAGGTAGACTGCACAGCTGTGCAGCGTTTCTGAGAGGGGCGAGCACTTAGGCCAGCCAGTCCGAGTCTTCTAAACACAGGCCCCCGCCCGAACATCTGCTATGGGTGTCTGCCTTAGGCCCCGTGTGAACCAAATGTTCCCAATAAAAGTTCTGATTGGGTGGCTGTGGGGCAGCTTTTCTTACAATACAGCGATTCTTACTTCAAGTGGGAGTTGGATAGATTTACCCATTCAATTCTTGCCACAGATTCTATGGAAGTGAAACCCATCATGACCAGAAAGTTGCGGAGGCGACCAAATGATCCTGTCCCCATCCCAGACAAGAGGAGAAAACCCGCTCCTGATATCCATTTGCATAATTGGTTTTTTTCTTAAGACTATTGAATCCTTTGCTTATCCATTTGCTAGAATATACATGGCCATTGTCCTACGGAAATCGTGTGTGGTTGGCAGGCATGTGTATTTATCCCTGAGCTAAGGAATAGCCAATTTTTTAAAAAAAGATTTATTAATTTGAGAGAGAGGGAGAGCGCTTGCAAACATGAGCACAAGCAGGAGGGGCAGTGGGCCAGGGAGAGAGAATCCCAAGCAGGCTCCCTGCTAATAATAGAGCCCAGTGTGGGGCTCAGTCCTGCGACTCTAAGATCAGACCAGAGCCCAAAAGAGTCGGCTGCTTAACTGATAGAGCCACCCAGGCACCCTGGGAATGGCCATTTTATTAAGGATCTCGATTGCCACTGCTTCTAATGGGCGGTGTTTGTAGAGAGCAGTTATTTGGAAGCGTACTTTTCTGGAAGTTCATCCTGGTTTTAACATTTGGAGACTTAAGGCGACCTCAGATTTCACGTGCCTTTATTTTTCTACTTGTAGAACCAGGCCAGTAACACCTGCCTTTTGTACCTCCATTACCTATATCCCGAAGACCGTGGAACACAAGTTGTTAAATTAAAGCAAATGAGATTTCAGTCACATAAAAAAGCCCTTTAATCGTAAAAACGAGAGGGGGAAGCAGGACACACATCACAAAATTCTTTTTCTGTTCTCTTGAGGAGAGAATAAGTAGCCATTTATACAAAATGATTCAGTTGTCTTCTCCCAAGAGAGGATTTAACTTCAGGTTCCTTTGTCTTCACAACTGAGGGTTTAAGTTACGTGGGAAGAATAAACCCACCTCTGTGTGTGTGTGTGCACACACGTGTGCAAGGCTTCTGGTTTTTGGAACAAGAGAACTTCATAAATTGAGGAGGAAGGTCTCCTTGTACTGTGTCCTATGCTCTCATTCTGGGACTTACTGAATGACTTAGATGTTTGAAAGAAATTTGTGCATTCTTTTATGTACCTGGGCACCACGACATTCAGTAGAATCAGCAGCTTCTGAGAGGCAAACTGCTATAGAAACGGCATCCGACAGAATCACACTGTAAATCCTAAAATCCTGGTACCATTTTGTTGATTTCTGCTTGCTTAGAAACCATGCTTCTCAGACACGTTCCTTTAACTCTCAACACCCCAGCTAAACTATTTGTTAACAGACGAACAGATCATGGAGGATCTGAGAACGTTAAATAAGGTACAGTTTGATTTTTTTTTTTTTTAATTTATTTGAAAGCTTAGGCTTGTGTCCTTCACATGTTACTTGTTAAATTGTTTTGATACCTTTGACACTTTGTGTTGCATCTGAAATGATCTGCACTAAGATTTCTTGTTGTTCTTCCTACAGCTTAAGTCACCCAAGAGACCAGGTAAGTGCGTAGTGTTGCTGGTATTTATGCAGTCCTTTTTTTTTTCTTTTCTTTTCTTTCTTTTTTTTTTAATCATGTTGTGGGAAAAGCATGCTTATACCTGACAGGGAGTTGTTGCAATTTTCAAAAATAAAAATGCTCATCATTTGTCTAAGAGTAGTCATCATGAAAACTGAAGGGAACCTTAGGTGCTCCCTCCCCTGTTTTTTTTTTTTTTTTTTTTTTTAAAAGCCCTGCTATATTAAAGTTATTTTTACTTTTTCCTTCATTTCTTGTAAAAGAGACATTTGATTGATAGGCTGGTAAAGGTTTTCTTCTGTGTAGGCATCAGGCATAAGATTTAAGCATACCTCCATTTCTGGAAATGAAACCAGAAGGATTTTTCAGTATTCCTTGTCTTGTGGAGTTAAGTGCTAGGCGCCCCTGTTCCTGTGGCACTTCGTGGCCTGGTTCTGGTGAGGGACTCTCAGTCCCAGCTTACAGAAGAGGACGGCCCAGGTTCACAGTGGTTCCTTCCAGAGTGGCACTTGAGAGTCAGTGCTAGGCTGCAAAACAGAATTCTGGATGGGCAAGGCATTGTTAGTTTTAAGCACCAGGATTACTTACATGTCTGTCTACTCACCAAGCCTTGTGGAAGGAAACAGGATCCTTTTTTCTCTGAACGATTTCCTTCTGAGAGCCACCGTGGTCCTCAGAGAGGTCCCGTGTTTCTGAAGGCATGATGTGGGGGGTGGGGGGGAGGTGTTACAGAAGTTGTGTGAATTGAGATACTTTGAACCTACTGTACTTATTAGCACTATATTAGCTTGACTCCATACATACATGATAGTCTGTTTTACCTAGTAATAAACAGTTTTAGAAATGACTTCGGATTAATAATTTTAAGGAGATTGTCCTAATTCCTGCCCTTCTGGGCTTCCAGTGGTCACGTGGGCAAATCACTTAGCCTGCCGGCATCCCTGGTTTTTCCACTGTTCAGTGAGGGTAAGCTTTGCCTTGCTTACCTCACGGGGTTGGGTTGAGCAGCAGGTTAGGTGTAATATACAAGAATTTTGTGGAGTTCTCATCTTTACACCCCTAAGGACTTAATGATCATGATTATTACCACTTTTTGATAGCATTTCAATTAAAGCATGTTAGTTGTTGGGTCCACATGATTGTTACACGATTAATCATTGACATATCTTTGGTACCTCCAGCATCCCCGTCCTCTCCTGAACACTTACCTGCCACACCGGCAGAGTCTCCAGCCCAGAGATTCGAAGCTCGAATAGAAGATGGGAAACTGTACTATGATAAAAGATGGTATGTTATGGAAAAACACAGATGATTCATTAAGAGTCTCAAAAGAACCCCTTGGAAAAAGCACTGGGGCTCTGTCTCATTGTTCCTGAGCATGGCTGCTGTTTAGCTTGCATAGTACTGAAGTGGAATAACATTTCAAAGTGAGTTAGGACAGGGGAGCCTGGCTAGCTCAGTCAGGGGAGCATGCGACTATTGCTTTCAAGGTCAGGAGTTCCAAGCCTCATGTTGGGCATAGAGCTTGCGTTTAAAAAAAAAAAAAAAATGCGGGGCTCCTGGGTGGCTCGGTTGGCTTCGGCTCAAGTCATGATCCCAGGGTCCTGGGATCAAGCCCCGCATCAGGCTCCCTGCTCGGCAGGGAGCCTACTTCTCCCTCTGCCACTGCCTGCTGCTCTGTCTACTTGTGTTCTCTCTCCATCTCTCTAATAAGTAACGTCTTTAAAAAAAAAAAAAAATGCATGAGGAATCATTTGATTGATACTACTCATTCAGTCTCTGAAGGCAGTGTTTTCTGAACACACTTTCTCATGGGAGCCCTCCTTCTCTCTCTGTGCTGTTGGCATAATACTAGAATTTGCAGGCTTCTCTCCGGTGCTGCCCCTGTAGACTGAGGCCAGGGCTTATGTCTCTCTCTATCTTAACTCTGCCTTTGCGCACTAAAATTAATAGGTGTTCTGTAGAAAAAAACATTTTGTGGTCAGATGAGTCTGGGGGAGGACCATGCTAGTTAAATCAAAGAGTTTCTTTGCTGTAGGTGCTCTTTGGGTTCTCTGATAGGCTCATGTGTGCTGTGTATTTCTGCGATGTCAGGTATTACTTATTTGACCCAGGGTACCCTTTGTGGTGCTTCATCCTGCTATATGAGCGTTCCAGGAAACGTACTTGGGGAAATTGAATCCTAAAACATTACTAGTTTATATAAAAGACAGTTTTTTTTTTAACTGCTTTTTGTAAAATTTTAATTCTTAGCTGCATGCGACTATATAGGTATGTTACATTAGGTTTTTAATATGCCAGAAATATTTGAGAATAAAAACACTTTAAAATCTTCAGACCACCAGCGTTTCCATTGGGAAGGAAATGGTCAAGCAATGTTAGACTTAGAAACTCATTTACTTACTCATTCAGCAAACATTACTATCTGCTCTGTACCCCCAGATTCTGCTAGGTGTTAAGCCCCATGTCCTACCTCCTTGTCACAGCTTCTTTAATTCTGACCTACTCTTTTATTCATTGTCCCTCTGCAGTTTACGTCATGGTGGACACATTTGCATTCTGGATTTCCGCTTGTTTGTACGGTGCCTGTTTATCTGCGATTACTGTGTGCGCTCTGTAGTTCTCATTTATGATCACCATAATTTTTAATGATCTTTTGAGTTTCAATATGTTAACCCAAAGTTCCAGAATTAGAGTAACGGTTATTTTGAATTGTTTGAGCTTTGTTAAAAAAGAAAAACCCCAAGATTGTTAGTTTATTACCTTAAAATATTATCCTTCCGAAGTTGGTAGAAATGCTCAGAAATCTAGTCTTCCCTGAAATAAATCCGTCCCCCCAAAATATTCGGTTACAGTTGAGTTAATTACCCCGGAGATGGTGAAGCCTGCCTCTGTCTGTGAGCCTGATCTTAGTGACTTCTGCCCCTCTCATTTGACTATTTTCACTTTCTTCAAAAGGTCCTGTGAGTGTTTCTTGACTTTGCTTATCAGAACAGATCACCACTAGGTGGCAGGCTCTAACAATGCAACACACCAAGGGGGCAAAAGAACATGAAAAATGTTTATAATAATGAAAACCAAATAACCTTTAAAGATCAAGCCTGCATATACGAGCCGTCTTCAAAAATGATGAGATTTATCACTAACGTTTTTACGGATCTGTGAGTCTTAAAGCTATGTGATATTTCAGACGATGTTCATTTTGTAGTGTTGCTTCAGATCTTAATTTTTAGACTTTGAGACTTGTCTTGAGGGTGAAAATGCAGTAGGAGAAAATTCTTGTTTTTCTAAAGAAGGGATCCCTGGTGCCTGGTGTTTCATAATGTAAATAGAGTGGTCACGTTTGCTGTGCTAGATCTCCGGAGCATTTAGAGTGAATTTCGCTGTTTTTCTCATAGGGGCTGCAGAAATTTTGAAAAGAAGGTCTCTTTAGCATTTCCCTTTTTCAGTGAGTTTCAAGTTGCATATTGTTGAGCATGGAAGCTGTTGTTTTCATCTGTATTCTGTGGTTTTCCTTTTAGCCTTGGGAGTCAGAGTTGATGACACATTTGTGGGAAGGTGTGTCTCTCCTTCCCTGCCACATACGGAAGGGGTTCATGCGGGTCCTGGCCCACGCTCTGACCAGTGCATAGCTGGCCTTCTCTCCCACCAGTCTCAGCGTGAGGTTTCGTCTTAGTGTCCTGTCAGCTGGGAGGCTTTCATTCTTCCTTCTTTTTTGCCAGTCACGGCCTGTGGCTGAGAGAGCAAGTGAACCGCTTTATGCTCACTCCGGTGGGATGGAGTATTTGTGTGCAGTGGTACTTCTGGCGAAACGTGTTTCATTGAGTTTCAAATGACTTCAGCAAAATGAGTGTGATTCAGGCTTCCCATCTTGGCATGAACACTTACCAAGCTACATTTCATTTTGAAAGATAAGCATCTTCTCTTTGCCTTGGTCTGGTAGTGCTTTTAAGGCATTTTATGTCCCGCTGTAATTTTCCTCACATTTTGATTTGGACTAATGACCCTTCTTAGAAAGTACCAGTAAAGTAGCTGATATTTTAAAATAACTAACTAGCTGATGGTGCTCGCAGACTGGTTTATCTCTCCTCACTTTAAATCTTGGGCTGCTAATATGAATCAGGAATGAAGCCCCCCCCCGCCCCCCACTTCTTCCAGCCTTCAACTGACAAAGACTGTTAAACGGCGAATATTTACAACTGGCATTGGGACCCCTTGAGGTTTCAGAGCTTTAACATGGTATTCAGGTTTTTTTGGGAAATGAAATGTTGATATCAGGATTCCCAGTAGGATACAAAATTAAATTAATCCTACCCCCTCCTTTTTGACCCACCTTTTGAAGAAATTGCTTTCTTCCATAATAGTACTACTGTTGATTCTAGTTCATTGGGTTTAATAGTAGAAGCAAAGTTCTAAGAGCTCATTTGTCGGGATTCCCAGGTCAGGATTTCCATTAGTAATAAAGTAATAAAGTCAGTTTGATTTTTGTGGCTTGTTCTCTGAGGCTATTTAAAGGTATTTTTTTTCATCTGAGATGAGTTGCAGCTTATAAAATGGGTTAATTGGCAAAAGTGATAATGTACATTTTTAGTTCTATTGTTGGTGCTTTTTAACAGTTTTTATATCTATATTTATTTTAAATTCTCTCCCCCTCTTTTATTAGTCTTTAGCAATTAAAGAGTAAATTTGTATGTGAGGGTCGACCTATACGTTTTAGTTTCATCTTGAAAATATGAGTGCTGATTTTTGAGGATTTTTTTTTTTTCTTCTTCCAGAGAATTCAGATAGTTGAATAGATTTGGTATCCAGGGATAACCTGTATTCCCTAAGACTGTTGTGTGGTGCGTGAGACTCTGGTTCAGGAAGATCTGGGAGTCCATTGGCTTGGAAGTGGGGTGCTTTGGGAAACACGCGGACCAGCTCTCCTCTGGAGCAGATGGTGACGAATGGTGGACATTCAAGCTACCACCATTTGGTTACCCCAAAGCAGGCAGACTGGGGAGGTGGCCAGATGCTCAGGTCCCAGACAACTTCTGGGGTTGGCGGGTGGTTATAGATGAGATCTCATTGTTTATTTCCGGTATTCATTTTAAGGTCAGCCCGAGGTGTTGGGGTTTGGGTTCTGCACACATCTGAAGTAAAATGCAGCACAGCTCCTGAGAATTGTTTGACTAGTCTCCCAGAGTTAACTGTTGTCCTTGAAGACATTAAGATGTTAATTTTAACATGAGGTTTTATCTTTACCCTTCTTTGTTATTTAGGTATTTTTCAGAACCATGACTTATTTAGTTTTTAATATGAGTAATACCTTAATTCAGAGAAAAGAAAGCCATTCAGTAGAAAGAATACTGTTCTTAATTTATATTTCCTATTTCCGTAAAGTTGTAATACACATTTTATTATACATCTTAACTACGTAACTTTACCCAATTTTTTCTGTGTGTGTGTAATACACACGTAACATGCATATGTTTTTTTACAAGCACAGGAATGTAATGGGCATAGATTTTCCCCCCTCTGCTTAGCAGTATGCTGAGCATGTCTCCAAACTAGTAACATACTCCTTTACCACACTGTGACCTTTCTTTATTAAAGTATTTGGGAAATACTTTCAGAATGACGTGAGGCTACGTGCATGCTTTGTGTCTTTATCTCTTTAATAACTCTAATCCCCATAGAATAACTTCAGATGTTCTCCCGCTTTGTAATTTTACTTGAACCATCACTCGAGATGTTAGTGTTTACATAAGAAAGTTGGCTTAGATGTGGGAGGGAAACTGGAATTTTTGAGTCACGCTGTGAACTAATTCAGCCTTTCCTCATGCACTGTATACTTCAGACCTTGCAATATTACACATTTAGCATAATGAAAGTCCACTGACCCAGTTTACCAACTGATCTCTGGCCAAAAGCAACTTTAAAGCTGAGTCTAACCCAATCTCGCTGTTCTAATTGCATTTATGATTCGATTTCTTTTAACCGTGTTTTCTGGAAGTAAATTGAGTTGGAAACCTGAGTTTTCAGCTCCTAAGTAGCAGGTTAAAGAGTGCTTAGAACCTAGATTGGGAAAAAGCTCATTGTGGGAGTGAAGTACATCTCTTTACTGTGATGTCCTGGCAGTAGATTATTTCATTACACCAGCAGAAACAGTCTGCCTTTTCCCCTACAGAAATAATGATAAAATGCAGTACTTTGCTGGGAGATGCATTTTGGTAGAATTTACATGAGTTAGTGGGTCTGTGCAGCCAGAATGAACCAGAGGTTATGTTCCTGCCTGTCTGTGGCTGGCCCCTGCCAGGGCTGCCAGCAGCAGCTCGGCTCCTGTTTCCAGCTCTTGCAGTCCAGCAGCTGCTCCTTCATCCTGTGGCAGCTGCTGTTGTCTCGTTGGGCTTTGAGCCTGGCTTCCTCACTTTGAACCTCGGCCTTATCCTGAGCTTGTAGCAGTTGAAGGTGATCCTGTGCTACAGGCCAAGAGGATGGCCACTGGGGCGGAAACAGAGTGCCTGTCTGGTCTGCTCCATGCAAGGCAGCTCTCCCGACTGGCCAGGCCAAATCAGAGCCCCTGCGGTGCACACCCGGCCGCTCCGAACGTCGCCTGGTTAGTGCTCCCCAGGTGTGATACTCAGTGCTCTTCTCGGCTGCTGTATTTGAAGCTGTGTGATCGCAGGGACCTTGTGGTCCTGTTCCCTGTCCACTTCCAATCTCCAGCATCCTCAGTGCTGCACAGTAAGTGATGAATGAGTATTTGCTAAATGAGTGACCAGAGAAAGACTTGAATTTGGCCTACCTTAGTGTGGATGACTTAATTTGGACATATTGAAAATAAATACTAGATCCGTTGTTCAAACCCTTCTATTTATTTTGTCCACTCAAGTTTCTTCAGTGTTTTGGGATGGGTGAAAAGCGGGAACAAGTTTTATTTTGAAAAATTGTAATTTACTTTTTGATTGAATTGTGGTGTATAGTCCAAATAAAAAGTAAATATGGAGTTAGCTTCCCAGCTTTTCCCCTGCCTCCTTTTTCCCACTGCAGAGGGACCAAGGAATATACGCTTTAGATTAGGAGGAGGTGAGGAGGTCATCTGATCCAATCGAAGGATGGAGGCCTTCAAACTAAATCTAAAATCCACACTCTTCCTCAAATGTAAATTAAGACTCTTAATTATATTCTTTGTTGTGGTGTTTTTCTTTCCTTCCTTTTTTTTTTTTTTTTTTAAAAAACTGGTGCCGTTAACAATACTGTATTATTGATTTAGAATTTGTTAAGAGCATAGCTCTTACGCATAGTGTTCTTTCTACAAAAGAAACAACAATTCTGCTGAAGAGGGCAGGAGGAGACTTTTGGGAGCAGATGGATATGTTCATTGTGGTAATGATTTCACGGGTGTATATACTTATCCCCAGACTCATCGAGTTATAAATTAAAGATGTATGGCTTTTTTTTTTGCATGTCAGTCTTAACCTTGATAAAGTGGCTAAACACATACATAAACTTGTGTCATGTTTTTGCCAGGTACCACAAGAGCCAGGCCATCTATCTGGAGTCAAAGGACAACCAGAAGCTGAGCTGTGTGATCAGCTCTGTCGGAGCCAATGAGGTAGGGGCTGAACTCCCTACTCCCTCAGGAGAGCAAAGTGTACTGCAAAAAAAAAAAAAAAAAAAAATGTGAGAGCAAAACTATAGTGCAGGTGCCACCAAGAACGTACAGTGGAATCGTGTGTCATATGTGGGTTAGGATCTCAGTCAGCACTTCCTGGCAGAAATTGCACAGAGACAAAAAAGATCCCTGAAAACCCCTTACTTTGCTTGACTACCAACATAATGTGGATTTGTATGTTCCTGGTGGTATTGGTGAACTCCACCCACATATAGTAATTGAGACGGGAGCCACTGAGGGAGACTACAGGAAAGAACAGAAGGCAAGTCTGTGTGGTATCTGTGTGTTCAAATCCTGCTGCTTTGTAAGATCACCATGTACATGGAACTCGCTTGTGGAGCAAACTCCATCTTTGTTATTTCTCTAGAGCTTTTGTGTGTACTAAGAGATTTGCTTTATGCTGTGAGGATTTAATGACACACCTGGCCCAGGGTGGGCACACAGTAAGTGCTCAATAAATGCATGCTGGCTAGATCTGAGCTATACACCTCTCCTTGTCTGCTGTCTTTACAATCTGGCACGTCCTATTGTGCCTCTCTCTCAGCCGTGAGCTGCCAGGCTCTGGCCCTCAGGTATTGGTTTCCTGGAGTCTCTCCTGTAGGGTAGCGACTGGTTCTGAAGTTAGCTCAGAGGGTTATGCTCCAGGGTTGGATGACTGGCGAGTAAGTTCTCCGACAGGCCCTTCGTTAGGGGGAATGTCAGCAGTGTGTAACTTGTATTGTTCAGAGTTTTAAAAAAGTTTAAAACTTTAATAGCTTGATTGGCTTGATCTGTTATCAGTCCACAAATGTCTGCAAAGAAATTGATTTTTATGTGTCTCCCCTCTGTAACTTATTCATGCCAGTGCACAGTAAATCTAATGAAACTGGATTATGAAATAACTTAAGCCTCTTCCATTCTCCTAGCTTCCTGAATTGAAAATGCCCTCAAATGTGACTAGTTTGCAAAATGATTGTTTACTCAGAAGTTAGGGAAGAGCCTTCCAGATAAATGAATGTCCTTTCTCTGTGGGCTTGGGGTCTGTGAGTCACCCCAAGCCAAGTCAGGAGCAGAGCAGGATCTGATGGAGGGACCTGCTGTTTGTCAGCAAGAGCTGTTGTGACTTCACAGCAGAGCCCTTGTGCCTGGCCTCATCCTCCTCGGTGACACCTCAAGATTTTTCAGGAAAAATAGAAATGTAAGTTATATTTTTTCTCTCTCTGTTGAAGATTGTCATCCTTTGACATAACAGAGTGTTGAGGAGGTCTGACAAGAAAACGGTGACACTGAGACATGTCACCTGGAGGGGAGAGGCCTCAGTGCACCCGAGGCATGCGACTCTGGTAAAGGGAAAACATTTCTCACTTCTTGGAAGTATTCCAGCTGATTTTTCAGGTCAAATCCTAAGTGACCCTGGAGCCAGTTGGCCTCGGCATAACCTGACTCCAGGGACATTTGTTGGGTGAGTCTGAGGCTGTTGGTGACTCCCCATTTCAGCCCTTCTTGCGGTCATTTTTCAGTTTAAAGTGCTTCTGCGAGGTCCTTAGAGGCTCAGCTTCATGTGAGGTCTTTATTTTTAAACCGATGTATTTGACTTTGAAGTCTCTCTGTTGCTAAATAACCACATTAAAGGAATTGAAATGAGACTGAGAACACACACTTTTAAAACCTGAGAATTGAATGGGGGAGGGAGCAGATAGGTCTATAGACGTCTACTTGCATATGTGGGTGAGATGCAGAACTTAAAAGAATCATGCTTCTGGCCCCAGCAGTTGGCTCATTAATTAAACGGACGAGGAACAGGTGAGGAGTCGGGGCCAGGTTATTGGATAAGAGCAAGCAAGGGGTTTTGAGAGCAGGCACCAGAATTCACATCGGACAAGTTGACTCAGCCTTCGTCTTCCATAAAATGGGGTGAGGATGGTACATCGTAGGGTGGTTCTGAAGATGAGAAGGCTGAGGTGTGACTGAGCTGAGGTGTGACCAGTGTCTGGTGACCGAGGAGGCGGCTGCTTCCCACTTCCCAGTCCTGGCCACAGGGATGACACTTACTAAGTGCCCTGCTCTGGCGGTCCCCCTGCTGCCAGAGTTCATTCTCCATTCTGTGCAAGAATGCATCTGCCCTGTGAAATGTCCGTCATCTGACACCATCTGTGGGAAAAGGATATGGTCAGGAGGGAAGGGCTGTCTTAAGCTGATTTAGCCTTCTGATGCTCCTAATTGGGCCTTCGCTCACTCATGGGCTTTTTTTTTTCCTTTGTTATTTTTTTCCCTTCCTTTTCTGCCATGACCATTAGCCTTAATTGCCAGGAAACCAGAGTAGTGAAAGACTATGATATGGAAGTCCCTTGAGGCAAGGAAAATATTTCCAAACTTGATTGCAAGTTTATATTCATGAATGCATGTATTTTGAATGTCGATAGTGCTGTAATCAAATCAAATAAAAGAATGTCCTTAAGATCAAGGCAAAAATAGAACCTGAGATCACGGTGCCCTCCATTTTCATAATCAGAGGTGTGAGGGAGAGAGAAGGAAGGAGGGAGGTCTGGGGCTGACGCCTCCCCCTATGCTAAACGGTTCCTGATGGGCGGCGGGGTACAGCCTGAGAGGAGGTTGCCACGGTTCCGCCCGCACCTCATGCTTGCAGATGTTTCGATGCTCTGGAAGATTTTACTCCTCAGTATTCGCTCTAGCTGCTCTCATCCGGTTCTCTTTCCTTCTCCCCTGCAGATCTGGGTGCGGAAGACAAGTGACAGCACCAAGATGAGGATTTACTTGGGCCAGCTTCAGCGCGGGCTCTTTGTGATCCGCCGGAGGTCAGCGGCTTGACTTTTCTACAGTGTTCTTCCCTTGACCTTTTTTCTGGAGTGGTTTTTCGTTTTGTTTTCTTCCAAATAGAAAGTTTTTAACCCGGGAATTCTCCTTGGCCTTGGAAACTGGGGAGCGCTATTGTGGATTCTGCGAGGCGCTGTGGTGGCAGCCGCTTCCGTCTTTGCGTTGCTCCTTCCTGCCTCGACCTCTTCCGGCCAGCCGTCACCGTGAACTCTTGCTTTGGGGAGTGTTGCGAGTTCGATTTACTCATTTCTTTGTGGTTTTTTTTGCTTACACTTTTTTTTTTTTTTTTAAGTCTCCTTTGAGTTCGAAGGGATATCTTTTTTTTAATTGACTTTAGGTCTTTCTACCAGGAAGGGGTACACTCTACATTGCATTTTCATGTTTTGAATCTGATTAGTGGATCACGCAGCTCTTTCCCTTGTCGAGCCCAATTCACTGTTTCCCCAGAAGCTTGGGGCAGAGGTCCTAGCAGAAGGAGATTAATTCTCCTGGCTCTCAGCCTTCTCTGAGAAATAAATGCCTTGTGTAACATCTGGCGTATGCCATCCATTCCACTGGCTGAGCGACAGAAAAATTTGCCTGGGTGGCTACGTGCACTGAAGGAAATGGGTTTGGGGGAGGGGGCATCTCAGGCTCCAAATATGCTGAAGGTACCGCATTTGAAATGTTATTTAATGCAAGTGGTTTATGCAGACACATTTGTTCTAGCTCAAGCTGGAGCAACTGGTCATTTCAGAAGTTTTTATTTCTAATTCATTTCTGTTTCCTGCCCCTAAGGAGATGAAGTACCTCGTGCCGACCAATTATCTGGGTTATCTATTGTAGGTGGGGAGGGGAAACTGACTGGTCAGTCATCAGTTATCTGTGAACTCTCACTCATAATTCCACTTGCACACTCTTGTCACTGATGTCGTTACTGCACACGGACTGTTTCCAGCCTGTGGACCTTGTTGGCGCCCCCAGCCTCCCAGGAGGTCTGGCCCAGGCTGAAGACAAAGGAAGCTCTACTGCGGCTGCCACTCACCAAAGGAATCCTGGGGGCAACAACCTTCCCCCACACTCCTTGCCTTCTGCTGCTCATTTCCAGCCTTGGAGAGAGGGTTCACTGGCAGATGGGGCTTTCTGGTTCATAGCTGCCACCGTAGGATATTTAAAGAATTTGGGCTTAGAGCAACGGTTAGCATCTCTATGGGAAATTAGTAGACCTTATGCATCCTAGGAAATCTTGGTATGTCATGCCCTCGGTCTCAGGTGATTATCTTTCTGTCATTTCTTGATATATGCACCCAAAAGCAAGTTGGGGGGCTGTGATGACAAGCAAAATCACCTTGTAAGTCCTGGCTTCAATAGAGACCAAACCTTACTGACTCAGTAGAGGCATGTACAGATTTGTTTTTGTTTTAATTTATAACGCACCCCCCTCCGCCTCCATGTTGGAGTCTCCTTTAGAGAATAAGGTAAATGATGCGTGTTTAACAGTTTAGAGTTGCCTGGGTGTTCTGTGCTTCTCTGCCCTCTGCCCCTATGATGATGATTATCGGAGTGAACCAAGTCCACAGTCAACAGGGCCTTCATCTTTCCTTTCTTCTTGACAGCCTTCGCTCTGCGGGAGAGCCTCTGTTGCTTGCGTTGTCCCTGTGGTGTGTGTAACGTCCCATAAAAGCAGGCGGCTGTCTGTTCTCCACTAGTGCCCTGTGATGGAAATTTAGTTACAGTATGTGTGGTCGTCAGAGTTTGTTTTTGTTTTTGTTTTTCTTTTTGAATGATTGTCTTACTTGGCTTCCTAGCAGTACACCAAAGTTTGTTTTTTTTTTTTTTTGGAAAAGCTTGTGTTGATAACTACTGGAGATTTCAGCATCAAAGCAACAAGTTGTCTTTTTTTTTTTTTTTTCCTTGCCTTTTCTGGTGGCACATTTGTGCTTTTGTGAAGTAACTGTTCATTGGAAGACCAGAGTATGGGCACTTTGGCTTCTTCTCTGGCCTTGGCCACATCACTGCCTTCTGGTCCTCAGTATCCTCACAATCCTTAATCATGACTGTGGGAATGGGCACAAGTGGGGAATAGACAGACACAGCACAGTAAATTGTACTCCTAATCCCAGAAGATCGAGTTTTTTATTTTATCACTCCAGAGATGAAAAGCCAGCAGCAGTATGGCCCCTCTGGCAGGCCTCTGTGGTGACCAGGGGTAGCAGAGCCCCCTTGTTGAGGAGTTGGAGGTGCTTTTGTGATGGGCAAAAACAGATTTTGAGATTCCTGGACTAACAAGGGGCTGGCTTTTACCCCAGGTGGCCATTCTTATTCCAGAAGGTCTTTCTTTCTCACCAAACCATAGGGTACCATGTATATCCCCAAATTCAAACTTTCCTGCAGATAAGACTTGGGAAAAGGTTGGTCTAGACAACTCTTATGAAGAACCTGTACATGGTGTTAATCTGATCAAGAAATTGCACTTGGGTTATTCTGATCAAGAACCTATTTGTGTTTTGTTCAAGGCACCTGCGTTGGTATTATACACAGTGTTTGCTATGGATATGTCGCAATATTTATTTTACCTCTGCTTGGGGGCGTTGTGTTGTCTTCCCTACCTTCTGACTCCCTCTCTTCCAAAGCCAGTGTCCTCTTGAACTATTTCCAGATTTCCGTAGCCATACCAAAGCCAGGATGTTTTCATTTGTTTGGATACCGGTGTTTATGGATATCTAACTACCTAACTTAATTTTTTTTTTTTTTTCTTTAAACTCCAAACTGGGTCCAGTATAAGATCCCAGAGGCTGATCTGCAAATCAAGCTACTTGTGTTTGTGTGTGAGACCCTGTGTTCAGGATTGGGCAACTTTTCTGAGAGAAATATTGGGGGTGGGGTGGGGTTGGGTTGGTTTCGTTTCGTTTCTTTTTTTTTTTTTTTCCTGACTTTGGGGATGGAGAGGAATCCTATTTTTTACAATATATTTGTTTTTTCATTAACATTTCCTTTTAGCCTTGAATTTTTACTAAATTTCCTCCTGACTTAAAATCTTGTTTCTAATCTGGGAATTTGAAATCTTGGTACTTAATGTTACACCAATTTTTCCAAAGAGTTCAAACCAATTTAATATCAGTACATGGTAAAAATTTGCAGCCATTTCAAGCAGCTGGGTGAGCTTTTTATATATCACTGTTAACTGGTATCATTAAATGTTCTGAGAGGTGAATGTAAAATGTAAAAAGTATAGGTTTTTTTTTTTTTTTTTTTAATAACAATAAACTTTCAAAGAGAAAACCAGCATGTAGTCTGTGTTATATCCATTGACTTGATAAATGATTGACATTTCTTTTAGGTTCCCCCCGAGTTGTGGGGAAAGGAAATCAGGAAAGGGGGAGGGATATGCTAGATATTTGCTTATTATGAAGAGTAAGTTAAGGAGTGATGTCAAAGACAGGCTCTCAGTTTTGTAAAGAGCAGTCTAGGAGTGTTGACCCATAAATGTGTTGTACTCTTTCCTTGTTGGTGATGATAAAACAATCTCATTAAAAACTGAGCCAATAAAATTGACCTTAGATGGGAAAAACCTTAAGGTAAACTCGTGTGATTGAGGAGGATGTTGTCATTTGGTACTCTAGAGCACTACCTCCCAATTTTACAAAAAGAAAAAAAAAAAAGCTGGTATTTCTGCAGCTCCCTGGTAGGTAAACTGAGGAGGCTGCTTGCTGCCACAGGTGACTGACCTGGTGTGCTCACGACCCGAGTGTGGCATGCCCATCAGGAAGGGCTGCTCTGTGCTTTGGATGTTGGAGAAGGGCAGTCACTATTTAACTTTTTTTTTTTTATTAACATAAACGTTTGTTCAGAAGAGTGTTCAATTTTTTTTTTTTAAGATTTTATTTATTTGACAGAGATCACAAGTAGGCAGAGAGGCAGGCAGAGAGAGGAGGAAGCAGGCTCCCCGCTGGGCAGAGAGCCCGATGTGGGGCTCGATCTCAGGATCCTGGGATCATGACCCGAGCTGAAGGCAGAGGTTTAACCCACTGAGCCACCCAGGCACCCCATCAAATCTTAATTATAAGAAATTGAGTTTCCTGTTTCCTCAAAGTGGATATGTCCATGTGACCATCACCTAGAGTAGGAAAGAGGACAGCCAGCTCCCACAGCCCCAAGCAGACTTCCTTCCGGTTGCTACTCCTCACTAAAGTAATGGCTAGCCTGACAAGTTTTTTGTATTTTAATCACCTTAAACTGCTAGGTCCTTCCATAGTAGTTTGGAAGAGCCAAGTCCCTGGTGGAGGCTAGGAGCTTGCCAGGGACTTGAGAGCTGGTAGCAGAGGATGTGGCAAAATGAGGGAGGGGAAAACCCTTCAGGTTAACCCCGTTTCCCTTGTGCTTGTCGCCAAGGCAAATGGAACTTTTCCTTCATATTAATATCTGCCTTCTCGTGAGTTTTTTGTGTATGTCAAGCACTATGCTAAACCCTTCAGGCGTTCTCTTATTTAATCTCTGTAATGATCTGAGTACTAATACTCTCAATATATTAATGTAATGTCAATATATTAGGTAACATAGTCATTCTGAGACTGACTTAATTTTCCCATGAAACTCCGAGCTCAGCACTGTGCCTAGTCATAGTATGTGCTTGGTAAATGTCCAATAACGTTGTAAAGTGATCAGAGGAGGAAACAGATTCCTTCAGTTACAGAAAATGGTTCAGTAATTTCTCCAAGGTCACACACTGAGTTGCAGAGTCCCAGATCTTTCAGAGTCCAAGCCAGGGTTCCTAACGATTGTACCGTGCATTCTGTTCCCAGCCCCCTTTGTTAAAATTGCATTCGGCATTTCCACCTCTCTCCAGCCCTTCCCTCGGAGTTTGTTTTTGTTTTTGTTTTTGTTTTTTTTTATCTCCTCTCACCTCTTACAGAATCAGAGAGCAAATTTTAGAGGTAAAAACACTTATGCTTTGTTAGGACCCTTTCCCCTACTGCATAACTCCCGGCTTCTCCCTTGGTAGTGGAACTGAGAGAGTCCGGTTGCTTGCCAAGAGGCTGCTTTCTTCTGAAACAGCATGGGCAGGAGTGCCACAGTTCTAAAACCAAGGAACCATTTGGAATGTGAAGAGTGTGCTGTCTTGATGGAGCTGACTTTATCTAATAAGCAACGGAGAGCCTTTGAAGGAAAACACGTGTCTTACCCGCGCCTCCCCAACCCCCCAGGATCACTTTCCTCCTGCCGGCCTTGCTTGTCATCTCTAAGGTGGGAGGGGTAGGAGCCATTGAACTGGTTTCTAAAAATGTAGATGGAGAACAGGCTAGCCTACATCTGACAGGCTGCTCTCTGCATGTCGGTGGACCTTTTCATGTCGTGTCCTGCGGTAGAGTCACTGAATGACGGAACAGACCAGTTCAGTGTCCCCTGCTTCACACTGCGTACTCAGCTCCAGCCGGCAACCTGCATAACAACCGAACCCAGGGTTTGCAGTCTTTGGAGAGAGGCGGGAACGAAAGCTATTACTGGTCTCTTCCACTTCCACAAATCCATCTTGGGTAAAGCTGAGCACCTTTCCTCCTTTTAAAAAGGAAACAGTAGATGGAGTGCATTAGAGACGTGGGCACCAGCTTACTCTTTGGACATAATAATATGGTGAGAAATAAATTAGCTTTAGGAATTTTAGTGTTTACCAGAGTAGGTATTTTTGTGAATAACTATGATTATTAAGACCAAAAGATATGTATGTTCAGGAGAATCCCTAGGGGAGCAAGGGTGATAAGATACAGTGTAGGTACCTAGATACTTAATCCCTTTACCCATTTTCCCTAATCTGTGTTTGCTCATTTCTCTGAAAGATACAGATCTATAAAATAACAAAATTCACTTTACTGATATGGCAAGACCAATATTCAGAATCTGAAAGATTCTCTCCCCTGTTTCTCAGAACCTGGAGACTCAGCAGATGCTTCCCCCGTCTGTTGGCGTCACCTGTCTGCCTGCTGATGGTGTGAGTGGGTGTGGGTGTTCCAGAACCCTCTAAGAAAGCATTACCCACAGGGAATAAGGTCCTGAAGGTGGGAGGACAACAGCCTCAGGTTGGCAAGTCCCTGCAGATAGTCAAGAATCACTTATAATTCAACATTGATTATTTGATAAGTATTTGAGTTTTTACTGAGATGTAATGTGGCATAGTGACAGTGTGGCAAAAGCAAAAGCTTTGGAATCAGTATTTGAATCCAGCTTTGCTGTTTCAATTAACTAGCTGCTGTGTGACTTGAGGCAACTTAATCTCTGTTAACCTCAGTTTCCTTATCTGTTAAATAATATCCACCCAGAGCATGATTTTGAGGATTCTGATATTAGTGCCTAGAACACTTACTATGTGCTAAGCATTTTACCCATATTAACTCACTGAATCCTTATAATAATCCTCTGAGGTAGTTACTATTATAGTCCTCACCTTATAGTTGAGAGATTCAAGAAACAGAGAAGTTAAGCAACTTGTCCAAAGCCACACAGCTAATAAATGGTAAGCCAGGGTTCTGACCCCAGTTTCTCTAGAGTCCCTGTTCTCATTCACCATATTGTGCTTTGAGGGGTATGTAATACAGGACTGGACTGAGGGACTGCTCCGTCCCTGAAGACTGTCCCTTCCATTGTCAGTGCTGCCGCCATCTGTCTGTTCTCTGTCCTTGGATGATAATCTGCCAAATCCTGAGAGACCAGAATGATTTCAAATGGTTTGGAGTGCCCAGTGCGTTGGGTTGAGAAAGATTCTGAAGCCCAAGTTTGGTAGATTGGAAGGGGTGACCTAATCAATTACCTTTGTCTGCCATGGGCAAGGGAGCCTGTTTATTTGCCATTGCTGATTTAGTCTGACCCCTTAATTTTGAAGGTGGAAACAGCCGAGGCCCAGAGATGGTAAATGATGTGCCTAAGTTCATATGGCCAGCTCTAGACAGAGAGGTGACAGGGGTCCCGTATTCATAAACCTGGCATGGCCACCCCTTAAGTCAGGGCACTTACTTAATGTCTGTGTGCTTCAGTGTTTGGGCACACTCAACCCAGTGTGCCTGGGACTTTTCTGGTTTTAGCTTTCATCGTCTTGCATCGCAGAAAGCATCTCAGACCCAGGCACACTGAGACAGTTGGTCGCCCTGTTCCCTTTCCTTCTCTGTAAAGTGGGGATGAGAGTTGCCCTTTTGCCATGGAGTCCCTGATTCCATGAATTAGCTGAGTTCATACGGATAAAGCCCTCGCAAGCAGCATTTGGGACATAGTAAATCCTCAGCACATGGATTGGTCATTTGTGGTGGTTCTTGGTTTCATTATCCTCGGAGCAGAGGATTCCCGCCACAGAATGAGTTTCCTCCCTGGAACTTCACTGTCATCCCAAACACGACAGGGGACCTTGCCATGATCATCTGGTCACCTGGATTCAGCTGTCTGGGATGTTTCATCTTCTACTTGAAATAATAATCATGAGCTTGAGGGTTGACGTAGTTACTAGCATTCAATCCCCATGACGTTTATTGAATGGCATTCTGGGTTCTCTTGGGGGACTCAGAGAGATGTAAAAGTATGGTTCCTTCCCTGTGGGATGTTGAGGATGGACAGCCATGCTTGTCCGTCATTCTAGTGCCATGGAACGGGGGCTACACTTGAGGCCTGGAGAAAGCGGGACAGAGGGCATAATAGCTGCTGACATTTACAGAGCAGGTTGCTAAGTGCTAAGAGTGCATTAGCTCTATTCGTTGTGCCCTCTGGATATGTTGT